GACATTGCAGCTAGGCCCTTGACTTTCGTCGAATTGTCGCGCGAGGTCCCTGACGCGAATTTGGAGCAGAGGATCGCCGGGGATCGCTGCTTCGGCCGGAGGAGGCCATTCCGTCGGCGGCTGAGGGGCAGGGGAGCACCGGTGGGTCCACGCGCACCCGTAGGTGGCCGCAGCTTGCTCCGAGGAGGCCCGACGTGGCTTGGCCACGCACGCCGGTGGCCTGGACGACGGCGGGAGGCGGCAGCTTACCGGCGGCGGTGCTCCGGTGGCCGATGGCTTGGGCGAGCGTGCGCGCGAGGTGCAGCACGACGAGGCAAAGGCGGTGGTGCACGTGGCTGTGGCCATGGGGGCATGGAGCGGCGAGGACGCGGTGGCAGCGAGCTCGGCCAGCCGGCCATGGCGGACGCGCGTCTCGGCGCGGAGCGGAGCGAGGAAGAGCAAGTGAGGGAGAGCGCTGGGGAGTGGGGAGCTCGGCGTCCAGCTCTATACCGCGCAGGGGAGGCAGGGCGCGTGGCAGAGGAGGCAGGGCACGCGGCAAGGAAGCTCGGCAATGGTGGCCACGTCCACGGACACGCGGCGTCCTTTGAGGCATTCTACCGAGCACGTGGCGGGCGACGGTATGACCGACGTGGGGAGCCGATTTGGGCCGCTTCCGGGCTGAATCAGACCTTGGGCCAAAAATGAAGTTTGTTCACCTCAGCCTGCTCTACATTTTTCATTAAGGCACTCCAGTCATTTGAGCAACATAACCATGGTTAATTTAATCTCCAAAGTGGCATTGCCAGTGCATTGACGGCGATTAACAAACTCCAAAAATTGAGGGCCATACCAAGGTCAAACGAGTGCCATCCTTTTACATGATCTTCTCCATGAACTTAGCTCCAACTTTTATCTTTAGACCAAATCGAGTTGCTTAACAAAATTTGGAGAACGTGAGACGTCAATGCCAATGTCGATGAATTTCTAGACTTAGAATATTTCTAAGTGCTGAAATCAGCAGCAGGTTCCAACTTCGAGCCTCTGTTTGACTTATTTCCAAGTTGATCTAGCTCTTGGTCCAAAAACAAAGTTTGTTCTACATGATATGTACTACAACTTTCATTTAAGGTCCAACCTCAAAACTGGTATAGAACCTACTGTTCTACTTTGACCAAAGTAGGATCACGATGAAGCTTAAATTATCCTTTTTGATCCATTGGAGCATTTTCTTGGCATTTGTCCAACATGAACCTTTCATGACTTTTGTTGTAGAGTTCATCTAGAGTCATTTTGGCAAGGTTGCAAGGTTTGGTTGACGATCGAGAATTCCATTCACTTTATAAATTAATTCAAGCAAGGACATAACTCGTCATTTCATGTGACTTTTTGATTCCAAACTTCATGAAACTTTTCGAGTGCCCAATATAGATGGGTATTGATGTGAGACACATGAAGATATCCCAATCACACCACCCAAGCATATATCTTGAAAAGGGGTCTATAGGCGAGCAAAGGTGCAATATCCAAGTTTAGGTTAGGGCTCGTTTCTATAGGTTTGACCTTGACATCTTCATCATCACTTAATATACCATGTTTTAGCTCAAACCCATTGCTTAACTAGTGGCAAACACCTGGGGTGTTACAGACGTGGTGGTCCACCCATGGAGGGAGCATGAACTCTGCCATCAGTTGCCACCCGCGGCCGCTTGCAGTTGCACGCAAGGTGGTGAAACCCCCTACAACGAAGGCAACGTGGCGGTAGCCTGCAGGTCGCCATCCGGTGTGAGGAAGAGAGGCAGTTGAGGCACTTCTCATGCAAGTTTGGCGGTGAGCGGGCATGGGGCTGACGGTCAGCTGAACGCGCTGAGCGTGCCCTGTCACTCCCACTTGACGGCCCCCATGACAGGATCTCACGCCAGACGTCAGCGTCCAGAGCGGAGATGCGCTTGCGGGCACCGGAGGGAGGTTGCGGTCCGAGTCGCTGGTGGGCTAGTACGCGCTACGTGCAAACACGTGTAGCCCGCCTGATTCTATCGCCACCATCCCTGCCCCGGATAGGGAGCCCATGAACGAGCTACGGGCATGGACGGCGGTGGTTGTGGCTCTTGCCCCGCCCCCCGGCGCATGGTTCAACGGTGGTTGTGGCGCATGCCTCTAGCAATGGAGTGCGGTTGGGCACGCTTTGGCAACGATGACATCCGCAGCTGCGACCCTTGCCGAACTGCGTCGAGGTAGGGGGTTTGGGAGATGGCCGGCGGCAACTCCGCATCGGAGTCGTCAAGGTCCTCGTCCGCCCACCAACGAACCTTGGAACGCCCTATCAAGCCCTCCCCTGGGTGGAAGGGGAAGGCAGGGGGAAGAGAGAGAGGACGACGAGCTAGGGGTGATCCGCCTGCCCGGGGAACGCCCGCACTTGATCCGGACTCCTCCATGGGCGGCGACGGCTACTGTCCGGCCTTCTACATCGAGGGCGACAGTGGCCGTGGATCCGATGGCACGGGGAGCGGCCGCACCGGATCCAGCTATCTCCATCAAGTGCTACAACGGGCCATCACCGGCGGTCGCGGATCAACAGCTGGCCTGCGGCGATGGTGGGGAGGAGGTGGTGGCGCGGCGAGGTTAGAGGCGCCATTGGAGGGGCCCGACACAGGTGGCATCGACGGCCGTGCTGCGTGCTCGTGCGCACCCGCGCGCAGGGGAGGAGAGGAGGGGGGCACGACCGCAGGAAGGTGGGGGGAGTAGGGAGGGCGCCGGCGCCGGCGGTGGCGGTGGGGAGGGATCTAGGGGCTAGGGTTTAGGTCGGTTGAGTCGTGCGTTTGAATGCGATCTGATTTTTTATTTAATTTAGTGTTAATTGGTGCACCACCAAAGAAGTTAAGCACCTAATAAATATTTGTATGTACCTTTGTGCATGTGCACTAGGGTAGCATAACGTGGTGTCACGCGTCCCGAGCAGAACAAGAGTTAGTTGTTGATATGATAACCATAAAAAAGTTTTTCATCCGGCATAATAGAGCAGTTGCCCGTACGTATATATTGCGCTGCCATGCCCCGCGTTGTGTCTGATACTACCCTCTAAATGCCACACCATTTTACCCATTCTGCCCTATGGGGCTACGGTTTGTCTAGTATCTCGATTTTCGCATTTTTAAAATGAAATTTCTCTCTTCCCATATATCCGTTTCAAATTCTGTTTGTACCTCTGTAGTTTCATGCACTGGCTATATATGTTGAAGGTACAATAATAGCTTATTTAAAACAGCAGTGCTAGCGTCCGAACGCCCACGGATGCACTCCGTTTCGGGCACCCCACACAGGGGACCGCATCACCCTGAACGTCACAAGCATTGAGAAGAGGGGAGACACTGAGGCGAGGCAGCAAAAGGCGAGGAGGGAGATGCAACATCTAATCTACTTTTGAAACATCCAGATTCAACACTTGCAACGTATGTCTAAAGATAGATAAGACACTTGAAACATACATCTGAAACACTTGTAAAAACACCCGAAAAACATTGTAAGAACATACGCAACATCTAAATAAAACACTTGCAGCATATATGTGTGAAACATATACAACATCCAAATAAACACACTTGCAACGTATGTCTGAAAAATAGATGAAACATTGGGAACACGTGTACAACCATTGCAACATATGCAAGATCCCCATCTACTCTTGCAACATCCATATAAAACATTTGCAACATACATATGAAACATCAGAAACACTAGAAACATAGTCTTACAACATGAGTTATTCACCCTTCTTCTTTCATACGACGCAGCACAGAGCAGGGATGGGCAGGCGGAGGGCAGCGCCGTCGTGACCCCTTCTGGAGGCGAGCGAAGGGGGCGGCCGGGACAGGCCACCGGCGAGCTTTGGCCTAGCTGCGGGCTGCCACCGTCATAGGCAGTCAGAGGGGGAGGTGGGGACAAGCTAGTGATGAGCGCAGGCCGCCGACGGGCTTTGGCTAGGAGGAAGGGGACGAACGCAGGTGGGAAGAAGGGGCCGACGGGGAGTTGTGGCCGGACGGGGATGGGAAGAAGGGGTTGATGGTGGGCGCAGGCTGGTGAAGGCGTCATGGGGGATGGGGGCACCGCGGAGGATGGCGGAGACAGCACGTCAGAGTGGGGCGCAGCGCGAGATGTGGGTGCCGCAAGTGGAACAAGCGGACAGGCCACATGTGGGGAGGTTTTTTGAGAGAGAGAGAGTGAGCGTGTCCGGACGTCGTATCATTATTGTATTTAAAAACAATGCAGCCGAATGCATCCTTTGAGTCGACATTCTTTCTCATATATTTTCAGTTTTACTTTTATTTAAACATATATACGAATCTTTTAATTACAATATTTTTTGGCCAATCTTGTAATCTAGAAAAAAGGTAATATATACCATCTATTATAGTGAGACAGAGTATAAGGTAGCCATACATATGTCTTAAAAACGAAAATTGATATCATGTTTTTTTCTCTCAAGTAATATTAGTGCGCAAAGTATAGTTACTTTATTTAATATGCAGAAATATTTTATTTCTACTTTAGTTAACTAGAAAAATAATACCAATTCAAACCATCTATTTTTGTGAATCAACTTATAAAAAGAAATGTTAATCATAGACCATATCCACTCATTAGCATTCCGGCCTCAACCAAATAGACCTTCTTTATAAATGATTGACCAAAGCAGAAATCATCAACTTTTCAGCGATCCTAGGCAGCACTTTTTGCCTGACAAGTAGGGCAAGTTCCCTACGCATTCAACTAAACAGCCCATGGTCCTCAAGGCCCAGAAACCTTCCCATAAAAATAATACACTTAGCCCTCGAGTATTGGCAGATTATTTAAGCAGCTATTTAAACCTATCTTTCTCGACAAGAGCAAATCATTACAGTAGGCAGGATATATTGAAACCAGTACATGAGGCGCACCACATGCGCGCGCACACACAATGATGACTCTTGAAATAATTGTTCCGCAAAGAAATTACATATTTCCCACAGCAAGCTGACAATCAAGTGTCATGTGCCAGATGAGTCCCAGTACGTGGGGGCATGCTTAGCTGCACCAGGACCGTACTTCTTCACAAGCCACGGCACAAGATGGAGGTTATTTACTGCAATATCAAACTGAACAGTTTTACTTTGCTGTATAAATGATAGAAGACATATTAACAGAATGTTTTGATCTGGCTCATCGATGAGCTTTCCAGACAGTTAATTTTGTAGATACTATTTCTTGGTTACCTATTTAAATTTGATCTTTCCTAGCCTAAATTTATGAAAATATCTTATGCCCACTAAACTACTTGTTTCATCAAGTAACTGGCAGAGAACAGGAAAATTACCTGCTTGAGAATCAGAGGAGTAAAAAATATGGATGTTAGGTATATGTTGGACAATGTAATTGTCACTTCCTTGCAGTCTTTGTATGAATCCCTTTGACATATCTGTCAGAAACATTTGGTGGAGTGTCCTAAGGTACTGGATGCCCGCAGGTACTGCCTTTACATTCCCTAGCCCAACAAGTTCCAGATGATGTAGGCCTATCATTGTCCCGTCCTCTATCTCAATCCAATCCAGATGTTCCATGTCACCTAATTCCAGACGAATAAGCTTAGGGAACCACCCTGCACAAAAGGTCAGCTGTTCCCCGCTATATGTCCCATAGAGCCTCAAATCAACTAGGTTTAACATGTGAGAGAAGGAGATAATAGGATCCTTCTTAAGACCAGACCAGTCCATCTTTAACCATGCTAATTTCTCAAACTTGGAAAACATTGATGGAAGAACACCTGCATCCAACTTTCCAGCAAGCCAGAGAAACTTCAGATTGGGTAAGGGCTTGAGCATTTTCAAGTCAAGAATCTCATCCATATCAATTGCGGAAATAAGCAACCTGCTGAAGTTAGGCATCTTCGTCAGGGAGCTCCATAACTCTGCAATGTAGCTTTGACGCACTTTCATTATAGCCAAACTTCTCAACAGCGTCAAGTTACCCAGTTGTGAAACTAAATCTTTACTGGCTGAAACAATTTGTAAAGCTTGCAGATTCTTTAGAAGGCAAATGTTACCAGGAATTTTTGTAGCACTAAAGCAATCCAATGATCTTTGTAGAAGATCATGCACTGCAAACACCTGTAAATGCCGTAAATTAGTTAACATAGTTATTTCCAGTGGCAACTCCTCTACGTAGGTGAATCTGAGATCCAAAACTTGTAGGTTAACTAGTTTACCGAATGATGCTGGTATTATCTTCACTTTTGTGTTTGAAAAATCAATATAGCGCAAGTTATACAATTCGGTGACCATGCCAGGCACTTGTCCAATATTTGCAAATCTTAGGCATAGGACCCTCAGGAGTCTGAAACGTGATAAAATATCATCTATCCAAGAGCATGGTACTTCAGTGTCAAACAAAATAAATGAGCGGAGCCGTGAACTAGCTATAGAATTCATGGTCTGGGCACCTCTTTGTACGCATAAGCGTCGGACTTCATGGGGAACTTGGGTTGTACTAGCATCGCCATATGCAATACCAAACTTCTCCTTTTTCGCAATGATGGAGGTTGCTTCTCGCACAAGATCATGCATAACAAATGTTCTAGGCCTTCCATATGCATTACTTTCTGTGACTCGAAGAAGACAACGCTGAGTGAGCTCCACAAGGTAATAACTGGCAACCTCCTCCATTGTTGTTCCATCTTCTCTATCTTCCACTAAACCTTCTGCTATCCATAGCTTGGAAATCACTTTTCTTTTAATCTTGTAATCTTCAGGATAGAGACTGCAGTACAGAAAGCAGCTCCTCAGATAACTTGGGAGATCATTCAAGCTCATATTCAGAACATTAGAAATCCAATTCAGTTCTGGATTGTTAGCTAATTGCCAGCTAAGTTGGCTGTGGAAAGATTCCCACCCCTGCTCCTCGAATTCACGGTATGATAGAGTACTTCCAATGGTTACAATAGCCAGTGGCAATCCCTGACACCTAGCAACAATTTTCTCTGCAAAAAACCTAAGGTTTTCAGGACATTGGCTATCTTTTGATGCACGAAATGCCTTTTTACAGAAAAGCTCCCAGGATTCAGCATATTGAAGAGTTTTAAGTTCAATCGTATAGTGATCTACTGCCAAACAAGATACGTCCTTTCTCCGAGTAGTTATCAGCACTTTGCTTCCACAGTTGTTTCTGGCAAACGCATAGTTTAGAAATAACCATGCATCTTTATCCCATACATCATCCAAGACAATGAAATATTTTTTGTCTAGCAAATAGCTTTGTATTGCCTCAACTAGTCTCATGCGGTTCATGGTCATGAAACCACTTGCCATGCTTGCTCTCTGATCTATTAGCTGATTTATGATTTCTCTTAGTAGTTCTTCAACTTGATAAGTCTGAGATACAGTAATCCATGCGTGAGAGTTGAAAGTTCTTGTGATATTCTGATTCTTGTACACACTGCTTGCAATAGTAGTTTTTCCTAAACCTCCCATACCAAAGATGGCAATGAGAGTTCGCTCTTGTTTGTCCTCAAGTAACCATTGTGTCAATCTTCCAATTTCATCAACATACCCCACTATTTCAGAGCTATCAGTTAAGTAAGAAGAATATGACATAAAGAGCTGACTGGGTTTCCTCAATTTGTTACTCCTGTCTATTTCACCTGCCAAGATGCCATATCGATTCCTAATTTCGCCTAGCCTCTGAATTCGAGCTTCTACTTGACTGATCTGGCTATGAAACTTCTGCCATGCTGCGAACTTTTTTATCTGACGGAACTTCCTCTTAAAGAAGCTGCCAGTATCCACGGCTTGAACCGCAAGGTAAGCATACTCATCAATGGTGTCTTCTACCTCATGGGCAACATCTCTCACTTGGTCCAGCCAGGCATCGAATGCCTTATCACCGACTTTTGCCCCAGCCTGAGCAATAAAAGCCTGCAGAATCAATAGTTCGGCCTCGATTTGCTTCATGCTATGCTCATAATCTGTCAAAACTGGTGCTGCTTCAACCAGCTCTGTGCTAATCCTCTCTAGTGCCCGTTCTCCCAGGGAATCAGCAAGTTTCCTAAGAACTACAAATAGGGCATCTGCCATGTCTGAATTCCTTGTGATAATATAAATATATACCTGAACAAGATTCAAGTACAGCTGTCATAATATGAAATTAATAAATGGCAGATTATCCAAAGCATCATATGGATTTGTTCCAAATGAAAGGAACATCAAATAGCCGAGACTTAAGAAAACAGCTGTGCTATGATCAGGTCAACAAGCAGAGATTTCAAGAATAAGGCTATGAACAGGGCTTATGTGTTAAGACTTAAGACCAACCAGGGACCTCATTAAGAGTACAAGGTTTCATCCCCAGTGAATGAGCAACTTTCCTGAGGACAACAAGATACTTTTTTTTTGAACGTAAGACAACAAGATACTGTATCTGCCATGTTTCTGAACAAGATTGGCAGGCAGGCCTGTAGTAATTTGAAGTAAATACATAGATTCGATTGGAGCATTGGACATACATGGCATGGATTTCCCAATTTAGGCCTTGTTTGGATGCATATGTATCCACCTCAATCCACGTGCGTTGGAGTGGAATGGAATGTAATTTAGTTTAATTCCACCCCAATCCACTTCAACACATGTGAATTGAGATGAATACATGCGCATCCAATACTAAAGATGTACTAAGTAACATCAAATAGGATCAAACGGTTGTGAGATTAACTATATTACAAGGAAAGAGTTGTGCTGTCTGATTAATAAGAAAAGGCTGTAAAAAGTAAAATAATAAGGGGAAGAAAGAAAGAAATTGAGTTGCCGATGCCAACCAAGAAATCAAGAATATATGAGCACAGATTTTGATATTTGCGCAGAATTGGAAATTCCAGAGGTGGTGTAGTGTAGCTACACCCGGGATGAAAATAATAATGGAACGGGATTTGGTTCCCACAACCCGGTATCCACGGGGAGATAGGCATGGATCAGCTACGCTACGCACGATTTGGATTTTGACTTAAGGTGTTTGATGAATCGCAAGTAACAGCAGCGTGCAAGAAATTAAAAAGCACCGTCCTGCTCCGGATTGGCAGCAGTAGGGATAGGAATACTCTAACTGTCTAACACTGTCTCCATGTTGTGAAATTGTGATTAAATCGAAGCCTGAGGCAAGAAGTGAAGAAGGCCTACCTCCGCCGCGAGCAAGACCGAGGAGGCGAGGAGTCGATGACTCGATGATGAGTCGTCGCTGGCTGGGCGTCCTGACTCCACAAGTCTGTGTGGCAGATTTTTCATTTCAAGTCTTCAATGTCTTCCCTTCCCCAGAGCAAGATGACCAAAATGCCCATCTCTCTCGGGGATACTCTACTGCCCGAGACCAGGCACGTCCTCGTCAGGCAATGAAAGAAACATAAAAAGCAAGACTGCAAGAGACATGTCTTTAGGCGGGCAAGTGGCCGGCGGCTTGGATAATGCTGTAACTGAGTTCAGCTAAAATGAAATCCTATATGAATAAGAAAATACAGTTTGCGTGCACAGTAAGCTTACATAAACACAGTGTCTCCTTTGAAAACTTTCAATGGTACCTGCAACACAATCAATTTTAGTATCATGTAATGAGACAAGACAATTGTCATGCTATTTTGCTATGTTCGTCCAGGCACTAGAAAAATTCTGGGTCCGCCAACTGTTCCCGACCCCGACGCCTCTCCTACCGCGGACATCACCTCCGCCGCGTTCGCCCCCGCCTTCCCTTCCTCTCTCCCCCTCCTTCTCCCTCTCTCTCCCAACGTGTTGGCGTGCCGGCTAGGCCCAGCGCCACTAGATGGCCACGCGGCGCGCTGCCAGGGCGACGATGCCATCGCAGCCTGCGGCGCAACGCCACGCCTCAGCACCGACTTTTGGGCCCTTCGTTAGTTGGCGAATTTTTTTGAAATTGTACTGTATCACTTTCGTTGTTATTTGGCAATTTGGCAATTAGTATCCAATCATAGTTTAATTAGGCTTAAAAGATTCGTTTCGTGAATTTCGTCTAAACTGTGTAATTAGTTTTATTTTTTATTTATATTTAATACTTCATGCATCGTCTAAAAATTTGATGTGACAAAAAATCTTAAAAAAATTTACAAAATTTTAAGAACTAAACCGGCACTTGGGCGCACCAGCCAGCCTTTTAAATTTTCGTTGATTGATGCGACAGTCCACACGCACAAGCACATGCTGCTGGAACTGCTAAAGTACGTCACACGCTTTGTTGATGACTTGATGATTTTCAAATCAATCATGCAGTGGCAGTGGCGCAGTGCTGTTTGTTCGATCGGGCGGGCATCATCAGTAGTAGCCTGCAGTACCTGCAGTTTGTGGGACCTGATTCATTTCTCACATCACATTCACACTTCACAGCAACTTCCGGTGGGTGGGTGAGGAGCTAAGCCTGGTTTAGTTTTTAAAAATTTTCATTCCAAACTATTATATTGAATCTTGTGGCACATGCATGTAGTATTAAATATAGACGAAAAAAATTAATTGCACAGTTTGGTTGGAAATCGCGAGACGAATGTTTTAAGACTAATTAGCCCATGATTAGCCATAAGTGCTACAGTAACTAATATGCGCTAATGATGGATTAATTAGGCTTAATAAATTCGTCTCGCAGTTTCCAGGCGAGCTATGTAATTAGTTTTTTTATTAGCATTCGAAAACCCCTTCCGATATTTCCGAAATATCCGATGTGACATCCAAAAATTTTCATTTCGGGAACTAAACACAGCCTTAGCAGAGGTCCCAAATTGTAGGAGTAGGACGTACTTTCAGGTACCAGTTGCATCATGGCACTTTGGCCCTGTTCATTTCGTTGAAATTTGGCTTACGCTCGTGCTGAAAAGTAATGTTTGTTGATTTGTTACGAGAGAAAAATATTATACAATGGCTAATAAGCCGTGGTGATAAGTTAAGTGAACAGGGCCGATATAAGACTAATATCTTAATTAGCTGCACTCCCTCCGTCCACAAAAGAATGCAACTATACATGGGTTGCGTATAGGTCAAACTAGTTTAACTTTGATCGAGTTTACAGTAAATATTATTAATATTTATATCTTCAATTAGGTTTATTATGAAAATATATTTTATAATAATCATCTAATAATACTTATTTTGTATCATAAGTGTTAATATATATAAAACTTTAGTCAAACTTCAAATTATTCGACTTCTCGAAAAAAAATAAGAATTGCATTGTTTCGTGGACGGAGTGAGGACTTGTTTGATTGGAGGAATTTCAAAGAATAGAGGAATCTATTCCTATAAAAAGGCTTTGCATTTTTTTTAGTGTTTCGAACAAAGGAATACCAACTTCCTTTCCACAGTAACAGTCAAAAAAAGTCTTCCTTTCTGCAGGAACGGCTTCGTTCCATGTACAGAACGCAGGAATAATATCCATCCATCTAGACCTGGGCCTTGTTTAAATTGCAAATTTTTGTAACCTGGACACTGTAGCACGTTTCGTTTGTATTTGACAAACTTTGTCCGATTATTAACTAATTAGGCTTAAAAGATCCATCTCGTGATTTACAACCAAATTGTGTAATTAGTTATTTTTTTTACCTATATTTAATGTTCCATATATGCGTCCAAAAATTGATGTGATGGAGAGAAAGTGAAAAAGCTTGAATTTAGAGACGATCTAAACAAGACCCTGATGATTTTTGTTCCTTCGTGAAGACCGAGGCAGCTGCGTACACTCCGTGGTTGTCTTGTGTGCTCCATCAACAATAAGTTAATAATAACTAGCCTTCTTCACTAATGCTGCTGCAGGCCTGCACTTGAATGGCGTGGTCACTCGTCGAGTGGACTGTGGACCCTTACCTCAGTGTCTCATGAATAGAATGACGTGGTCACTTGTCTAGTGGACCCTTATGTCAGTGTCTCATGAACATATAACGTGAGTTCCTGAGCTGCTTTGCAAATCCCTCAGATCCAAACACCAGTTCTGTGTATTTCCTACGGTTTTTCTTTCCTCTGTTTTAGTAAGAACTCCACATTTAATTCTAGTATTTTGCCTATTTCTTTGTTTTGCAATCCTTCAATCCAAACATGAGTATCTCCAAGAGTTCCCATGAATTCCTTCCCAAAACCAAGAAGTTTTCTAAGTCCTAAAAAAGTATCAAGAGCACTAAATAAAACTATCTCCAACAGTGTTTTCAATAAATGTAAATGCTATACAATAACCGGGTGTTTTATCACCCGGTGGCACACGAATAAAACTATCATGTAAAGCGGAATTAAATATGAATAAAACATCCATTTTGAATGTATAGTTTTACTCTAGTGTTTCATATATAGCCATTTAATTTCATGACTCATAGAGTTAATAATCGTGTCAAGAGAGTTTTCTCGGTGAAACTCACTTCTTCTCTCTCTACTAAAAATGTTGCTATGTCATAAAAAAGTCTATGTGTCAGCTCACTAAATGCAGATGAAACTCATACGAAACTTCCATTGAGACTGATCGCTAAATGGCTCTGTTCGCTTGAGCTTATAAGCCAAAATCAGCCATACATTTTCAGTCATAGAATAATATTTTTCTCTCATAATAAATTAACCATATAAATCAGCCGCAGCATCCATACGTGGAGAGGTTTGTTCACACCGTCTGTTCTTAGAGCCGTGTGCCGTGGTCCCATCCCACCACATTCAAGGCTCGATTGTGGACGCCTGGGCTAGGATTCCTTGCGTGGCAGGCAAGTGCCTCCAGTCCTCAATCAAACACGCTCTCAGAACAACGCCCGCCCCACCAATCGAATTCAAACAAACTGAACCACTGCATGCCGACCCCACTTTCATCCCCGTATGGCCCGCAACAAGCCGGTCAACCACGTAGCCGTAGGCTTGTAGCCGAAGCGTCACCAGGAAATCGAAAACCCCAGCCGGCTGCCGCCCTGCCGCATCGCATCCTCCTCCAACGGCTATTTCGCACGGCACCACTGACACGTGCGCCCCAACTCGCGTCCCCATCTACAAAACAAAGGGAAGTCCCCCGAGATCCCCGATTCGAAAACAACCCAAACAGCTACAAGCGAGGCAAATCGTCGAACAGATGGAGGCCATGGCCGCGGAACCATCCTCCCCGGCGCCGGCTGCCGCCGCCAATCTCCCTACTCCACCGTACCACCACTGCCCAGCTCCAGCTGATGAGGTAGCAACGCCGCCGCCGAAGCCGAAGCCGAAGCAATCAACCGCGGGGCCGGGGCTGAGGACCCCCTCGCCGTCGCCGTCGGTTCAGGTGTCCGGGCACTCTCTGCACGAGCTGCTGCTGCTGTCCCCGCCACCCCCGAGCTCTCGCCGCCACCGGTCGAGGACCCGTGGGGCCACCGGGACGAGCGTGGACGAGAGCCTGGAGATTGTTGCGGTGGTGGGGACGCCCACGCCGCCAAGGCGGAGGCGGCGCGGGGCCGCGGAGCAGTGCGTGGCGCCCGCTCTGGCGTCCCCGAGGAACGCACGACGGGCGAGGCGGAGGCTGGAGAAGGACGTCGAGGCGGCGGAGGAGGACGCCGCCAGGAGGGGCCGCAGGAGGAAGTCCACAAGGGCTGCGCCGAAAGCTGCAGCGGCCGCGGACAAGGCAGCGGCGGTGCTGAACGAGGACGAAATGGACGATACAGCCATGGCTTTGGTCCCGGCTTGTCCTGTTGCTACCTGCGGTGAGCAATGGTCTCTCGGCCCCTTCTATTCGCATACAGGATGGCTGTCGCTGTCCTGCTGTCATGTCTATTGTTCTTACTAAATGTTCTCCTGCTGTTGATGGTTATAGCCTATAATAGGATGTCTGCTTCAATTTTGCTAAGCGTTCCACTGTGATTGTTCCTCTACACATAGGAACTGACTTCGTGGAACAATCTGAGTTGGAAGGTCTCTGGGAAAGGATCGTTGAGTTGGTGATGTGGAGGAACGTGGCTAAATCGGCACTCTGGTTCGGATTTGGATCTATGTTCTTCTCATGCTCATTTTCAAGAGACGTCACCTTCAGGCATGCGAATTTCGATATTCATTTACCTGAAAATTACTGATTTACCTATGTTTCTTCGTTGTAATCTGGTACTTGGCTTTGGGTGATGATTTGCAGCCCAATCTCAGCTCTCTGTCACCTCGGCGTTATGATCTTAGGCTTGGCTTTCTTCAAGGATTCTGTTCCTCAGAGGTATGATTTGATCATATTTGATTTTTTTTTTTTGTCCATATGGATGATTGAACCAGAGGTAATATGAGTTTGCAATTGGGCAGGCTACAGGTGGAGAATAAGAGAAGCTTCCAGTTGACTGAAGAAGACGTGCTTCGTGCTTCTCAAGCTGTGCTTCCGATTGCAAACTCCATGATATCCACGGCACAAGTGATCTTCTCTGGTGAACCCTCAATGACTCTCAAAGTAAGCCTCAAATTTGGTTCATGATCTGTCAGTACTGCAAGCGACATTGTTTTCCTTAATCATTTTAGGAGCCTGTGTTTGCTGGAATTTCAGGTACTGCCTGTACTTTTGTTCGGTGCTAAATATGGGGGCCTTGTTACAGTGCGGAGGCTTGTAGCTGCAGGTATAATCGAATGCACAAGGTACAAGCAGCAACTCTTGGCATGACTGTTGTAATATAATGTTGTGTTTGCTGCAAACTGCAGGATTTTTCACCAGTTTTACAGTCCCAAAGCTATATAGCTGTTATTCAAGTCAAATTCATAAAAGAGGTGTGATTCACTTACCACTAGTGACACATTATTTGTTCGCTCTAGCAATCCTTCTCAACTTAAGACTGAATACTCTTTGTTCTGTTACCTCAGTTGAGATTTTGAGAGATCAGGCTCTAGAAGCATGGAAGTCTTGCCCACGCAAAAAGCTTGTTGCAGCTATGGTAGTGACAATGTGCTGGAACATGTTTAGTGTGAAGACACGCGTCATGGCAGGTATCTCTAACTAATATGTCTGGCACGGTTGACATAATTTCTTCTGTTCATGTTATCAACCGATACAGTTTCCATGAAACATATCCTTTATTTACATGTTGTTAGGTGATATAGTATTCAACCGTGCAATTATTGAGTTATATCATGCAAAATATTAAAGTTTGCAACTTCAGAGAAACTGATTCCTGCTTAATTCAGGCAAATGTGTGGGTACAAAAATGTTGATGCTTGAAATTGTTAAATAAGATAATTTGCCTGTTTCAAAAGGCATTTGAGCTACCCTTTAGTTACGATGATTAATGTTGATGGTCTATTTAGACCAGCATTGTCAATATGTATACAACATTACAACAGTCCACTTGTGGTACAAAGTGAAAATAGGGAACAAAGTGTCATTTCTGTATGTAGGAACCATATTACTGACTCACAAATCAATTATGATAAAAAAATAAAGACCGATGACAGTAGGCCCTTGCCACTTCACTAGAACAGTTTGCTCAACATATGCACTGTGATGCCAAATTCAGCAATCTGCCAATTTTTTTATTATCAGTGTGTCATTTCAAAATTGCGCGAGTGAAATGTTAATGATGTAGCACTGTTTATTACCGAAACACTATTGAACTTGACAACATGTGCAACTAAAATCTGTTTCAATTCTTTGTGATTCCTAAATGATGTATGATTTGTTTTTTGAGCAGTTGTTGCCATTCTGTTTTTCTGCACTCAAGGAAAAAGAATCATTTGTAATATGCCCAGCAATTTAATGTATGCTTAGTTTGTTCTCTTAATAATAAATTAACATGGACTAATATCTTTTGTCCAGCCTTTGTTTCACTTGTAATACTGCGCTATAATCAGAAGTACCACAAGGCGAACATAACGACAGAATTTGGAAGTAGCCGAGATGAGCAAGGGCAGACAATGGAGATGGATGACTAAAGTTTTCAGTACTATGCGGTCCTAAATGATGTAGGGTTCCCAGAGTGCAGCCAGCAGTGCTGCTACTATTTCTGTGCAATAATATTCAGTAAGTTCCACGTCTAGTGGTCGTACTAGCTAAGATGTATTTTCTGCACGTTGCATTGAGGGATCTTTTGTTGTGCGGACTAAGCACACGTGGAGAGGGGCCCATTGTATGCTGATAAATAAAATGTAAAAGAGCTAGTCGTGTGCATTAATATTCAGTAAGTTCCACGTCTAGTGGTCGTACTAGCTAAGATGTATTTTCTGCACGTTGCATTGAGGGATCTTTTGTTGTGCGGACTAAGCACACGTGGAGAGGGGCCCATTGTATGCTGATAAATAAAATGTAAAAGAGCTAGTCGTGTGCATTATAAATTTTGCATATCCCTCTGAACTTGTGGCTGAATTTAAAAAACACCCCAAACTTGAATACCAAAAAACCTACCCTCAATCTAAATGTGTTGAAGAGGATTGGAGTGGAACTTAAACTAATTTCCACTCCTTTAAAACACATGTGGATTGATGTGGATACATGTGCATCTAAAAAAGGCCTAAAATAGTTTATAGTGGCATGTGGGTCCCATAGGTCTTTGGTTTTTTTAGTTATGCCATCTTTTATTGAATATTTGGGCTCCTATATAATCTCAAATGGAAAAAAAAAGAAAGTTTTAGATCTCTTTAAGCACTACAAATTTGGTCTCCATATGAGGTTGTTTGAAAAATTACAAAATGAATTTTATAATTAGAGAACTTAAACACATTTTTTTTGAGAAAGCCAGGAGGGGAAAACCCCTACTGAACTCATTTCATAGATATAAGTCTGTACAAAACTAAAAAGAACTATACAACAAACTAAAAATAGAAAAGCCTGTCCCTAAGAAGAGATTTCTTAGTGGACCTACAACGGAGAATACAAAGAGAAAGCTCCTCATGAAGACTAATTAATCTTCCAACGCCCAAGAGAAGGAGACTTGCCATAAAAAATAATACTGTCTCTCATGGTCCAAATGCACCAGGCAGCCACAATGACGAGCTCTAGAAAAATCAGAGATCCAAAACAGGCTTTAGCTAGAGCCAAACGATCCAAAAGTGACACATTCTGAGGCCACTGTACATTCATCGAACGCCACCACCACTCACTGAACGGACATTCAAAGAATAAATGCTCCACCGTTTCTTCCACATTACCTTGACTTGACAAGAACACAGTTATAAGATGGCAAAGCGAAATGCTTTCTTTTAAGCAGGTTCCTTGTATTGAGTCTGTCCAGGAGGAGCCAAAAAAAGAATTTATGCTTGCCCCTGCAACTGCTTTTTCAAAGCCAGGTAAATTGAACTTGCTTCGGCATGATACCCTGTATAGCTGAATATGCTTGCTTGCAACTAAAAGTGGAACCCCACTGATATGTCCAGCAATCTGTACCATGACTATTGCCATGGATATTTAGGATCCTCCCAGCTGCAGCTAGCTCAGTTAACTACATAGATGCTTCAATTGATAAAGGCAGGAGGAAATTATTTTCAATGTCCCTTGATAAGAATGTGGCCACTGAAATTTTTGTATCCTTGACAAATGAAAAAAGCTGAGGAAATTCCAACTTGAGCAGCCCCATATCCCAAATATCCTCCCAGAAACTCACTGATGTACTGTCACCGAAACTACAAGAAGCAAGTCCTCTGAAATCCACAGATAAGCTCATTACATCTCTCCACCAAAAAGATCCCTGGCCTTTTAAAATGCGGAGGCACAGAAGAATTATAGAAGACCGACCAAGTTAGATTGACCCAGGGTGTGTCTACCTTGTTATAAATTTTTTCCGCAGATTTCAGAAGAAGAGCCTTATTCTGTGATCTCAAATTTAAAATGCTGAGCCCTCCTTCCTCTTTGGTTCTACAAGCTTTTGTCCAGGCAACCAAGCACCTACCTTGCCTGTGCAGATCTTTGCCTTCCCAAAGACAATTCTTTCTAAAGACATCTATTTGCTTGATCACTGCTTGGGAATTTGAAAGTGCTCAGCCAGTACATGGGCAATGAAGAAAGCAGTGAGTTAACCAGGACAATCCTCCCATGATAAGAGAGCATATTTGTAATACCAGCCAGCCTCTTTCAATTCTGCGTACTAGTAAGAAATTATTGCTGTTTAAAGATGGTACTAGCAAATATGCCCGTGCGTTGCAATAGGAGAGAAAAAAACTATTAAACATTCATACAGAATGATAACGTGAATGGTACATATCTACTTACGTTTTATGCTTTTATAATTTATTTTGTGATGACCGTCACATCCATAACATAAGTTAATGCTGACAATAAATAACAATGTCTTATTAAAACTGTATCGAATTAAAATACACCTTGGTATATTTTTCCTTCAATTGCAAAGTACATAATTATTTAGATATAAATATATCAGAACTTTAATTCCCTATACTACCCGTGTGTTTCTATGGCGCAATATAGACCTTTGTAGCTTTTTTGACGCATCATATCAACCTCCTTAACTTTTCTGTTGATGTGTAAAGTATTGGTCTGTCCGCCAATGATTATGATGGGAGACCTCTCTTGATTTTTCACATGGCAGCACTCGTTAGGAATTATATAAATACATTTGTTTAGATTTCATTAGACAATAATCTGCACAAGATTTCAGTTCACAAAATAATTAGTTGTAATATTGACTAATCCATATTTTAATAAAAATAAGTTTTGTTTCTAATCAGAACTACATCGATGGTGTACATATTTTCTCTCAAAACTTAATGCGCAAACAAACTTAATAATTACTAAAAAGTAGGGTTATACACCGGGGCTTGCCTTGGGTAGGAACCGGACATCGAAAAGTCAATGAAGGCTTCGGGAACACCGGCGACGAGAACATCCTCCTCGTACTTCTCAGCCACCTCCACGTATTCCTGGTCTGCCTCTCACACGTTATCGGTCATCGCCGAACCTATATATAATTGCTGAAAAGTAGGGGTTATGCACCGAGGCTTGTCTTGGGTAGGAACCGGACATTGAAAAGTTAGTGAAGACTTCGGGAACACCGACGCCGAGGACATCCTCCTTGTACTCCTCGGCTACCTTCGCCTATTCTAGGTCTTACTGTGGCACGTACTCGGTCATCGCCGAACCTATATGCATGAAACACATGTAAGCAAGATTTAACACACCTATAGATAAAAGCACAACCTAACAAGATTCATAACATTTATGGATAGACCATATTTTTATGAAGCTAACAAAACTTGTTTTGCATTTTTCTGATTTTTCTATGATTTTTAGTGAATTTTGCAAGATATTTGTTTTTTTATAGAAAAAGAGAAATACGAAAGAAAAGGAAAAGACTTGCATGGGCTTGGTCTAGCCCAGTATGAAGCCGGCCCAACTGCAAGGATTCAGCCCAAGTTGAGAAAAAAGCCCACCAGGAGAGACCCACTCGGATCTGAACATTTTGCATCAGGAACCTCTTTCTATTTTAAAAACTATTAAAGCCCTCCCACCTTTTCTTTTTCTCTAGCATCTTTACATTTGGAACCCGTGTTTCTTTCTATTCTCTTTCCCACTCCTAATCTCGGCAATTTTACCGTAACCGTGAAAGGTCGCCGAGTGCGAGACCAAGCCGGTCTCGAGAAGGTAGAAAAAAAAGACCTAGCCGGTGGCAGAAAAAAAATACGGCAGAAATTTTGCCTTTTTATTATTACTAGCAAATATGTTTATGCGTTGCAACGGGAGAAAAAAACTATTAAACATTTATGCAAAATGATAACGTGAATGGTACATATCTACTTATGTTTTATGTTTTTATAATTTATTTTGTGATGACCGTCACATCCATAACATAAGTTAATGCTGATAATAAATAACAATGTCCTATTAAAACTGTATCGAATTAAAATACACCTTGGTATATTTTTCTTTCCATTGCAAAATGCATAATTATTTAGATATAAATGTATCAGAACTTTAATTCCCCATACTACCCATGTGTTTCTGTGACGCAATATAGACCTTTGTAGCTTTTTTGACGCATCATATCAACCTCCTTAACTTTTTTGTTGATGTGTAAAGGATTGGTCTGTTCGCCAACGATTATGATGGGAGACCTTTTTTGATCACATGGCAGCCCTCGTCAGAAATTACATAAATACATTTATTTAGATTTCATTAAACAATAATCTGCACAAGATTTCAGTTCACAAAATAATTAGTTGTAACATTAACTAATCCATATTTTAATAAAAATAAGTTTTGTTTCTAATTAGAACTACATCGATGGTGTACATATTTCCCCTCAAAACTTAATGCGCAAATAAACTTAATAATTGCTGAAAAGTAGGGGTTATACACCGAGACTTGCCTTGGGTTGGAACAGGACATCGAAAAGTTAGTGAAGGCTTCAGGAACACCAGCGACGAGGACATCCTCCTCAGCCACCTCCGCGTATTCCGGGTCTACCTCTCACATGTTCTCGGTCATCGCCGAACCTATATATAATTGCTGAAAAGTAGGGGTTATGCATCGGGGCTTGTCTTGGATAGGAACCGGACATCGAAAAGTTAATGAAGGCTTCAGGAACACCGACGACGAGGACATCCTCCTCGTACTCCTCGGCCACCTTCGCCTATTCTAGGTCTTCTTGTGGCAGGCCGTCGATCATCGCTGAACCTATATGCATGAAACAAATGTAAGGATGATTTAACATACATATAGATAAAAGCACAACCTAACAAGATTCATAACATTTATGTATAGATCATATTTTTATGAAGCTAACAAAACTGATTTGGCATTTTTCTGATTTTTCTATGATTTTTGGTGAATTTTACAAGATATTTGTTTTTTATAGAAAAAGAGAAAAACGAAAGAAAAGGAAAAGACTTGCACGGGCTTGGTCCAGTCCATGACGAAGCCGGTCCAACTGCAAGGATTCAGCCCAGGTTGAGAAAAAAGGCCCACCAAGAGAGACCCACTCAGATCTGACATTTTGCATTAGGAACCCTAATCTATTTCAAAAACTATTAAGACCCTTCCACCTTTTCTTTCTCTCTAGCATCTTTATATCTGGAACCATGTATTTCTTTCTATTATCTTCCCCACTCCTGCAATTTTACCGTAACCATGAAAGGACGCCAGAGTGCAAGACCGAGCCGGTCTCGGAAGGCAGGAAAAAAGACCGAGCCGGTGGTAGAAAAAAAAATACGGCGAAAATTTTGCCACTTTATTATTAGGTATATAGAGGTATAGACTATACAGCAAGACCTAAGACGGCACATATGGCCTCTGTGCAATGGGTGCGCTGTTTGCATGCAACTCTCAAGCTCCGCCTCCCCATTAAGTATGTGAGATTTCTGCGTTGTGTCCAGATTAATGGTCTACTTGTCCAAGGCTCCTCACTTCTGAAGCGCTGATGCCCATTTATAAATCAATGAACAATCTTTTTGCTTCCACATGTTTCGTTCTCCATGTCTGGTTGTAGACTTTTTCCATTCAGTATTGGCAGTAGGAAACCATTCAGTAGCGAGGGCCAAAATCCATGAGTAACATATATTACACAAAAGACACTCATCTAGAGTTTTGGCACCAAGATGAACAAGTACGTTTTGATGATTTTCTCGCTGCTCGAGTGGTTGCTCTATAAATCGAAGGCATATTTATTGCTGAAACCTCCCAGTAATCTTCCAGGCTCCATATGATCCTCATTTTCTTGTGTCATACTTAGTTGCACCAGAGCCATACTTCTTGGCAAGATAAGGCCAAAATATGAAGTTATTTACTGAAATATCAACAAAGTAGTAGTTACATTTTTGTACAGATTATAAATCTAAATATGAGTGCAGATTGCAATATCAAAAAACTTGTATTTAAAATTCTGAAAAACACTAAAAAATCTAAAGATGAGAAAAGATCCATAAGAAAAAATAATCCACAAGGTATATTCTATCTGATAATTCATTCAATACACGCAAACATAATTTGAACTACAAACTGGAAGGGACGTGGCATACTCAAAAAAGTACTATGTTAACTTCATCCCATAACAATAAACTAGTACACTTCATGTATGGGGACTCCTTTAGAAAACCATACTGTACACAGTAAGAGTTTGAATAGGAAGGTAAGGATGAACATTGCAAATACCTATTGGTAGATAAGAAAAGAGATGGGATAAAATGTTTGGATCTAATTCATTGATAAGCTTTGCAAATAGTTGCTTTTTTAGATACTAGTTCTTTCTTCGATTTTAAATTGATGATTCGTAGTCTGTATTTGTTTTTAAATTATTAATTGGTTAAGAATGTGGAGATTACCTGCTTCGGAATCAGTGGAGTAAAAAATATGGATGTTAGGAACATGCTGAACAATGTGACTGTCACTTCCTTGCAGGCTTTCAACCAACTCCTTTGGCATATCAGTCAGAAACATCTGACGGAGTGTTCTAATATACTTGATACCCTTAGGTACTACCCTCATATTCCTTAAACCAACAAGTTCCAGATGATGTAGACCCATCATTGTTCCATCCTCTATCTCAATTTGAGCCAGATGTTCCATATCAGCAATTTGCAGAGATTTGAGATTGGGGAACCATCCTGCACAGAAAGATAAATGTTCCCCATAATATGCCCCGAACAGCCACAGATCAACTAGAGTTAACATGTAAGAGAAGGAGCTTATAGGGTCCTTATTCAGACCAGACCAGTCCATTTTTAACTGTGTTAGCTTCTCAAACTTATTGAATATCGGTGGGAGCATGCCTCCCTCCATCTTTCCTGCCAGCCAGAAGAGCTTAAGGTTAGGTAAGGGCCTCAGCATTCTCAAGTCAAGAATCTCATCCATATCAGACACAGAAATAATCAGGACGCTCAAGTTAGGCATTTTTGTCAGGGAGTTCCATAGCTCTGCAATGTAGCTTTGCCGCACATTCTTTATAGTCAAGCTTCTCATAAGAGTCAACTTTCCCAGCTGTGAAACCAGATCTTTATTAGCTGAAACGGTATGTAAAGATTGAAGATTCTTTAGGCCACAAATATTGCCAGGAATTTTTGTAGCACTGAAGCAATTCAGTGATCTTTCTTGAAGATCATGAACTACAGCAACATGTAAATGACGTAAATTAGTTAGCATAGTTATTTCCAATGGCAACTCCTCCACATAGCTGAACCTGAGATCTAAAACTTGAAGGTGCACGAGTTTTCTGAATGATGCCGGTATCTGCTTGACTTTTGTGTACGACATATCCAGATAACGCAAGTTATACAGTTCTGTGACCACGCACGGCACTTGTTCAATATTGGTAAATCTTAGGCCTAAGACCCTCAGCAGTCTGAAACGTGATGAGACATCATATATCCAGGAAGACGGTACAAGATTGTCAAACAAAATGAATGATCGGAGATGTGAATTTGCTAAATAGTTTTGGGAATCTGCACTTTTTTGGATGCACAAGCGGCGTGCATCATGGGAAACTTGGGTTGTACCAACATGGCCGTGTATAACAGCGAACTTTTCCTTTTCAGCAGTTATTGAGGTTACTTCCCGCACAAGATCATGCATAACAAATGTTCTTGGCCTTCTGCTTGCATTCCTTTCTATGACCTGAAGAAGAGAACGGTGAGTTAGCTCTGCAAGGTAATGCTCAGCAACTTCCTCCATTGTTGTCCCATCCCCTCTCTCTTCCACAAAACCTTCCGCAATCCATAACTTGGCTATCTGTTTTCTTTTAATCCAGTGATCTTCAGGAGATAGGCTGCAGTATAGAAAGCAGCTCCTCAGATGACTTGGGAGATCATCCAAGCTTAGATTCAAGACAGTAGAGATCCAGCTTAGCTCTGAATTGTTAGCTAACTGCCAATTAAGTTGGTTGTAGAAAAATGCCCACTCCCATTCATCTAATGCATGGTATGATAGAATACTTCCGATGGCTATGATAGCCAATGGCAATCCTTGACACTTATCAACAATTTTCTTCGCCAAAGATGTGAGATTCTTAGGACATATGCTGCCCTCCAATGCAAAAAACGCCTTTTTGCAGAAAAGTTCCCATGATTCAGCATAGTTAAGAGTTTTAAGTTCAATTACACAATTGTGAACTGCCAAAGAAGACACATCTTTTCTCCGGGTTGTTATAAGCACTTTACTTCCACAATTGTTTTTGACAAATGCATAGTTCAGAAATAACCAAGCATCTTTCTCCCATACATCATCCAAGACAATGAAATATTTTTTGTCACGCAAATAGCTCTGCATTATCTCAACTAATCTCATGCGACTCATGGTCATGAAGCCACTTGCCAAACTTGCTCTCTGCTCTGTTAACTGATTCATGATTTCTCTCAGAAGCTCTTCAACTTGGTAAGTCTGAGATACAGTAACCCATGCATGACAATCAAAAGTTCTCCTGATCTTTTGGTTCTTGTAGACACTGCTTGCAACAGTAGTTTTACCTAGACCTCCCATACCAAAGATCGCTATTAGAGTTCGGTCTTGTTTCTCCTCAAGTAGCCATTGTGTCAGTCTCCCAATTTCCTTGGCATGCCCTACTATTTCAGAGTCATCAGTTAGGTAAGCAGAATCTGACACAGAGAATTGATTGGATTGCTGCAACTTGCTACTCCTGTCTTGCTCCCCTACCGAAATGCCATACCGATTCCTCATTTCAGATAGCCTCTGAATCCGAGCTTCTACTTGACTGATCCGGACTGGTAGCTTCTGCCATGCTGCAAAGTTCTTCACCTGATGGAACTTTCTCTTGAAGAAGCTGCTTGTATCCACGGCTTGCGTTGTAAGGTAAGCATACTCATCAATGATATCTTCCACCTCATGGGCAACATCTCTAACTTGGTCCAGCCATGCGTGAAATGCCTTGTCACCGGCTTTCTGCGCTCGGACCTGCCCAATAAAGGCCTGCAGGATCAAGAGCTCACCCTCGATCTGTCTCATGCCATGCTCAAAATCTGTCAAGATCGGCGCTGCCTCGACGACATCCGTGCCAATCTTCACCAGTGCACCTTCTCCCAGGGAAAGAGCAACTTTTCTGAGAACAACAAACAGCGCATCTGCCATATCTCGTAACTGCTGTATGCTATATTTCTGAGCAAGATCAAGAGACAGCCCTGCAACAGTCTGAATCCATAAACAGAAGATTAGTCGAAACATCACATAGATTTTGCTCGAAACAGAAGTAAGACCAGGTAACATGAAATGGTAACTAACATTTGCCTTCTCCTTACTGCTGTATGGTATATTTCTGAGCAAGATCAAGAGACAGCCCTGAAACAGATTGAAACCCATAAACAGCAGATTAGTTGAAACATCACAAGGATTTTGCTCGAAACGGAAGTAAGATCAGGCAACATGAAATGGTTGTGAGATGGTAATAACTAACAAGAAAACAGCCGCCACGCTGTCCGGCTAGCAAGAAGAGATTTCGGGCTTCAGTGTGTAAGGGAAAGAACGAGGTTCAATAGCTGAGACCAACATCCCATCCGAATTCATCAGGAAAACAACAAGAACGGTCATGGGTCAACTGCCCCGGATTTGGCGTTGCCCGATGCCCATAAGGTGTTCGACGAATTGCTCACATGACAGACGGCAGCGTGCAAGAAAGCATAAACTCCTGCTGCTCCTATGGGTTGATAACACTAACCGCAAGCGCAAGAGAGGAAAGGGGTAATCTATCTATCTGCCTCCATGGTTGGTAGCATAGCTCGCGCGGGTGGGTTGGAGGAACAAGGAAGGAAAGCGTGTGCGCTTACCTCGCCAGCAGTCTGCAGAGGACCAAGGGAGGAGAAGCCGACAGAAAATGAGACCAAGGCAGTAGGTAAGAAGGCCGTCTTTCCCATAAAATCATAGCATCAACAAGTTTCTTTTTCCTAAATTTTTGACAAAAACAAATCATGCACGTCCATGGGTGCAACACACTTTGGCTACAGTATCAGTCGCTGCGTCCAGATGGAACCGCACTCAACGAGGTGTGCTCACGTCGTAAGGTGCGATCAGCACATACATATAGGTTAGAAAACTTCGGTAAAGGTTAGAAAACTTTGGTAATGAATGGAGATGGGTCACAAAAATCGGTAACAAAATACGAGTTGACAAAAATCGGTAACAAAATACGAGTTGACAAGAGCTTGGCCATATTGATGGTAAACTGTTCATCGCCCAGTACCAAAGTCTTCGTCTTGACAAGTCAAGGGTTGCAGCAAACGTTCAAGGGAAATTGCAAAGTGTAAGTCTTCGTCCTGACAAGTCACGGGTTGCAGCAAATGTTGAAGGGAAATTGCAAAGTGCAACAAGGTTGTGAAGTACCTATCGCTCACTACAACCACCCCACCTAGGTTCCAAACAGAGGCCTATATTTATTCAGCTCGAATCAGCAATCGAAAAAAATGTTTGTAAATGAATATTACAGCGTACCCAAGAGAGCTCCCACTCTGTGCGGAGTCTAAAAAAGGGTGTCAGTGACAAGCCTTACCCTCGCCTGTGCAGCAATGCGAGGAGACCGCAACTCGAACCCGCGACTCTACCACATGCACCAGGCCCGCCCTTCAAATGAATATTACAGCATTGTGTCAAAAAAAAAGAAGTTGGCCAACAACTGTAGTAACAGCAGTGCATTCACGGTGTATATGGTTCGACAGACGCAAGAGCAAATATTGAAGTTCCGGCCATCCAAGTTACAACAAAATCTAACAGACTACAGGTGAACCAAAAATTGGATTACTTGTCCGTAACCTTCCATCTCTGCCTTCATAAAGAGAACACAACCCGATTCTCCAATGGGAGTACGGGGGAAACTTTACGACCCTACAAGCTTCTGTAGTCAAGGACAGTAACTTCCTCATCAGGGGCATCGAGGTCGTTATAACTGCAACCAAAGTCAGGTATGAGTCGCATGCCATTACTAAAAATCTCACTAAAAAGTACAGTGCCATTTTTTAAGTTCGTCCCAAAAGAATAGTTAGCCTTCACAGCAACAAAATAACGAGATGAACATCAGAGCAAGCAAACAAGAGGAAAAGGAGATTCTGGAATGGGGGGGGTAAACCTTCTCAGACTGCGAGGATCATGGCGGAAATTTGGAGGCATAGCTATAATCGGTGCTGGGCCACCCATCATTGGTCCGAGCATTCCTGTGTTGCCATGTGGTGGGCCATTTGGTTCAAACGGAGGAGGTGGCCCTTGCTCTCTCAGCATATGCATGGCTATCTCTGGAGGTGCAGGAACAAATGGTCCCAAGGGACTGAAAACAATAGTGATCACAGTAGTTAGCACTTAGCAGTCCATAATTGCAATCAGAATATACTGAAATGCATGCCTTTTCACCCAGCACCAGGTACTGGCATCAATATCGGTGGAGGGGGAACTCAGCAACAAAAGGACCATTAGAGGGCCGTCCACGGAAACCATCAAACATCTGATCATCAGGCCCATCACGGCTTGGAGAGTGATCACCTCTACCATATCTGCCTCCATCTCTCTCAGCTTTATCATGTTCTCTGTTACTGCCACGGTCAAATTTCAGACGATTGTCCATGCTAGGTCTCCGTCTTCCTCTGTCCTGCAAATAAGAAGTTGGATCATGTATTAAAGATATCGGCCCAGTTCGCACTTCAATAAGCATCAAATTTGGCAGCAGTCTCCTGTATTTGATACATTTTGTTAGCAGCATACCTACTAAACATACAAAATTATCATGATCCAAATTTGAATTCCCCTGCGTTTTTAACAGAAGATCCCAAAAGCCAGAGACTGTTGACAGAACTCATTAATTGACTAATCCGCTAATGTTATTTTGTGAGTTATATTAATTCCACCAAGGCTGCTAAAGGCTAAGCAAATCCTTTACTCCGTCACCCAAGCAAGCAGTCAGCCATTCATTCAAAATCCCCAACATGCAGACACATCAGCTACATCCCTAAGGACATAATGCTTCGCCCTCAAACGTTGGCAATGTTATGGCACTGGAGCTCTGGTCCAATGGGTCAGTATAACAAAAGGGCACAAACAGTACAATGTTCATCACCAAAAGAAAGAAAAAACTTCTAACATAGATTAAGTTGCATGAAAGCAAAATGGCCCATAAAATGATTTTAGGTGAAGCAGAAAAATAGATTTATAGAATTTCCCCAGAGATGAAGTGTGTTAACAATTACACAAACAACCTACTCTAATTGAAGTCTTAATCATTATAAACAGACACATGTGATATGTCAGAATAACACTATACTTTGTAGATTAGAAATTTTATTAAAGCAAGAACATGGGAGTGTGTTGTTCTTACTGGTGCAGACTGTTGCATCACTGGGGTTCCACCTGGTGCATTAGGATCACTGTTTAAAAATGAAAGGAATAGATAAGTATGACCTCCTAAACTTCAATGATACTGTTCTTTAGCTGTAAATAGAGCATCACATATACATACTTCATGTAGTTTTGGAAATAAAGATCCTCTCGAACTTTTGACGTTGACTCTAATACAAGGTCTGGATGCTTGAGCCTCAAATGCTTGTGAACAAACTCAGGAGCATGAAAAAGCTTTGTACAGCCCTTGGCTCCACAGCCATATTTCCATCCATACTTCTCATCCCTGATTTTCCTGACAAGAGGTTCTAAAACTTCAGCAGCTGCTGCATCAATTTTGTCCTTGGCGGTAAGTATGACCAGTGGGTCCTGACCATTCAGTCTTTCCTGCCAGAAAGTATCCAGCTTCTTCTCCCAATCACCAGCACTGACATCAGATGTGCTAGAAGTCTTACTGTCTACTCTCACATGACAAAGGCCCTTGGCCTCATGTGACTCTGACGTGCCATAGTAATCAACACCATGAATACGCCATAAATAGGTAAGAATAGTGTCTAGGAGCTCAACGCCTTCCAGGCCTTTGACAGTCGTTAAACCTCTGATTATAATTATAGGCCCCATAGATCCAATGTGTGATTTGTCTACGTCTGACTTGTCATGATCACCACTTGACAGTACATTGCCCTCAATGCCCTTCTCAGCATCAAGCTTACGCACAAGAGATAGAGTCTGCTCAATGTCAGCTTGGACTCGACGTGATTCAGAACTAACTGGATGAGCCTTGGGGGCACCAGAAAGAGAATCAGTTCCTTTTATGGAATCTTTGCCATGCTTTCTTCTCTTGTCACTGTCCATATCATCCTCAGAATTTCCATCACTACCACCGGTTTACTTGCTGCACCACAGATTATTCCAGGGCCTCTGTTCAGCAGGATATCAAGATATAAACAGCTCATCCATAAAAAGGCATCATGACACAAGCAATGTGAAAATAAACTCACAGGTCCAGAGTTCCATTCTGCAAATCAAGAAAGAAATCCTTTGCTATAACCTTACAACGTTCATTCCTCCTGCATAAACCGACAATAAATCGTTAAGATGAGCTGGAAAGATACCGTTCAATGGACACCTTTATACTAGAAAATATCATGTCCTAGATATTACAAGGCCAAAGTCCACACAGGAATATTCACACAGAATGCAACTCCACCTTTCGATAACAGATAACAAGTTAGTTGGGTGGTACTTGTCTTTCAACCTGCAAGTGTAAGCAAACAGAAAAGACAAATAAGTGAATGGACCACATGTAACTCCTGCATACCTAAAGGGCACAATTAGTGTCTGAAATAAAATCTCTTGGAGCGTACCAATCTTCATTCTTGTGGAGATCAAAATAAGCGCGTTTCTGAGTAGTGATATACTCAGTTCTATATTCTTGGTACCTGGGTAACACGGCACAAAAGTTGTTAAGAAACACGATGGGGCACATGTATTATATTTCTCAACGTGTTCTTTTGTTATTGGTTTACCTATGCTCAGCTTCACTTGGTGAAATATCATCCTCAAGAACTTGCATGAACTGTTTGTATGTCATCAAACCTTCCCTGGAAAGATTCATAACTAATAAGATCACAAAAAGCATGTTGCCGTAAACTCAATATGTTATAATACTTCTGTTTGAAATGTTAGAATGGATAGCTCCAGAAACTTAAACAAATAGGAAGATTAGAAAAATGGCTGCTCATAAATATTTCATAAAATGTATGGATAAGAACGTGGTATATGCAGCAGTAATCTTCAGTAAGAATCATTGATTTGTTTCATTAGTATTAGCTCAGACATCTCATCAAATGAATACCTCGTGGACTCCCTGAGGGGTATGCAGTAAGCCTGTCCAAACCCAAGAGTATCAGAATAAGAAAGCTTTTATTTGTTCCGGTGTTATTCACATGTCAAGTTGGCATGCTTCCACTTGCACATGGAGTTCATGTGAGGTCTTCAAACCAGAGTGTTTTTATTAAAACTTTAAGTGAGAATTGCTTAGAGAGATAAGGATCCCAATCAAATTCTACTTGATTCTATAGGTTCCCAATTCCAACAGTGGACAATGGACACTAAGGTTTATTGCACACAGGCACGCAAAGGTACTCTGTATCTTATTTATTTATTTTTGGTAGTGGAAAAGCATTCACCTTTATTTTTCATTTGATGTTACAGAATTTCAAAGAGACTAGTAAAATGGCATCATCTCATTTTGCATATGATTCATTGGTCGTTAAAATTAAAGATGGGTGAAATAGGAGAAAAATGGAATTACATAGGTGGCAGGATAAACAAATTTAATCAGGGGGTGTAACGATCTGCGCTTTTCCTTTAAGTTAGCTCAAGCATGAACATAAAACATTAAATGAGAAAGAGCAGACAAAGTATAAATCAACTCTCAACAGCATGCAAAATTGTCAGGCAGCCCATTTTAAGAGAACCAGGACCTGTAATGTTCCATGCTATACTAGGGTTCATGTTCCTCTTCTAAAGAGGTGTCATCAATTATTAGGAGCTTCATTGCACTAATGCAGGAACCAATATTGTTCAGAAGTATAAGTTTCTGAAGTGTTTTAAGTTCTTAATCTATGGAGTTGCCAATATAATTGTATGCATAATGTGATACGAGGGGGATCTGAATGGTCCCGTATTACATCGTGAAGGAAAAAACACTGTGAGTTCCAAACGAAGCCTCTGCCATTTGGTTGTTAACGGATAGAGAATGTTCTCATCAGATTCTCCATTTGACTGCATCCAAAACATATCGTCCTCTACTTCGAGTATATAGCTGCATCTCAATATATACATATACTAGTAGTGGTATACTGGAGGAAGCTTTGTTGTAGTAGTACAAACTGTAAAGAGAGCAGAAGGCTTGCTGGTGGTGGGTAATAAGAGTAATTAGGTTGTAAAGTAGAGAGAAGCTTTGTCTTGATAAACTATCCACATCTTTTGCTTCCAAACATCAAATATGGGGAATTTTCTGAGAAGATTCTCTATCCGTTAACAATGCATAGAGCATTTAACAGTATGAGGCTTGATTCGAATTCCTCACGAGCAGTGATAGTTCTGATGATTCTTATACAGCGATAGCAACCAATACCCACAAAGACAAAATTTTGAAGTGGCTCATAATGAGGAGTCAAAAAAACAAGCAAATAAAATGACTGAGTCATTAGTTACATCATCAGTACCTTTGGGTGACCCCTGGACCATCATTGGCCGCCCCATACCCCGAATCAGGCCAATCTGGGTATAAAAGTTGCATGTCAAGTGATAGTCATAAATCATAAAGCAAATAACAAGAAGTCATTCGTCACAAGTTATTTGTCACAAGCCATGAAAACTAAAGAGCAGCCATTTTATATAGAAGCAGAGAACATATAACTACTTAAGTTGAAAAGGTTCATGTGATCAACATTGTACTGTAATAAGGTCACACCAAGAAGAAACGAACTACTCCCTCCGGTCCGTTTTCTAAGGCACAAAGAGATGGATTCCAGAGACCAGGGAGCAAATTAATCCAGCCCTTTGATGCCATGCCAAGGTGCCTGTATTAATTGGATTTGATTCCATACTATGCATGAGCAAACTGGTGCACGTGTTAAATCACAGATGCTAGTTGCTTGGACTCCCGTGGACAGACGTCTTGGAATAACCCCAAGCGTTACATACCAGACTTTAGGAAAAACATGAGAACGCATTATAAAACGGACTGGAGGGAGTAACATCTGGTACACGAAGATCTCCATCTTTTTCAATTTTAAATTTATACACATTTGTTAGACTAGGGGCTCTTGTTGGGTTTCAACTCTAGCCTACCCCAACTTGCTTGGAACTGACAGGCTATGTTGTTGTTGTTGTATATTCACATTTGTTACACTAAATCTTCTATTACCAAGATTATTAATATATTCCTACAACTGAACTTTGCATGAGGAGAAGAGTCCTCACCTGGAGCACGGTTCAGATATCTGCCATGGTTCCTGTCATCTTCATGCCCACCTCTGCCACCACCTCGCTCATGGTCATAACCTCGCCTGAACAACCACACGGTAAGCACACATACCCACCTGCAAACACCTGCCGCACAAAGAAACTCCCCCGAAGGACGATTGAGCCAGAGCCCCTCACCTCCTATCATCGTACCCGTAACGCGGCGGGCTCCCGCGGCCCCCGCGCAGCGGTCGTACCTGTCGTCCCTCCGCGACCGCTTGAACGGTGGCGACGGGGACCTCCTGGGCGGCGAGTGGCGGCGGCTGCCCCGGTACGGCGGCGGGCTGGGGCTGCTCCCCGCCCGCCCGCCGCCGCCGCGGTGGTCCCGGTACCTCTGGGGCCGCGACGAGCCGAGCGGAGGCGGAGGCGGCGGCGGCGGGGAGCGGCTCCGCTTCCGGCTCGCCGCCGGGGGCCCGCCTGGTGGAGGCGGGGGGAGCTGCGGCGAGCGGTCGTCCGGGCTGTCCGGAGGAGGGGCGGCGGGCGGCGCGCGCGCGCGCGCGCGTCGGAGGCGGGGTCAAGCACGTCGGCCATTCGCGCGGTGGGGCTGGGGTTTGGAGCCGAGTCCAGTCGAGCAGTTGGGGACGGAAAGCCGGGGGAACCGATACACGAGAGTACTCGTAGATGGCAGGTCCGGCGCAACCGCGCAGGCGCAGGTGACGGAAGCGCCTAGAAATCTGGTGTTAGGAACGATGGAGATTGACGTATGGACACGTGTACGGTTCTAGATCAATCTCTGTTTTAGGACAGCTTCCCTGTCTTTTTTTGTTTTTGTTTTTTTTAAGCTACAGCTTCCCTGTCTTTTTGTTCAAGACAACGAGCCCGTGCAATGGTCACATGGAAATTTTGACGTGGAGAAGAGACGGGGACGTAGATAAAAATGTCTCTTATTTCGCAAAGCAACTTTCTTATAAAAAGACTTGTTACCATATATATAACTCATACAGATATAATAAAATAGCACTTCTTTTATTTTAAATTATAAAACGTTTATCTTTTGCTGAAACACTGTTCCGGCTGATTTATTGTGAGAGAAAAATACTGTTCCGGCTGAAAAAATAAGCTGAAAAGTAAGGATTGTAAGAGAAGCGAACATGACCGAAAGAGAAGTATATAGGACTATTAGGGCATATTTGGTATCCTTCCCAAACCAGCCTGGTTCGCACCAACCAAGCCAAGCCAAACTTGGTCAGCCCCAACGCATACAGCCCTGTGTTGTTTGGCTGCCTGTTTAAATAGAACAAGGACACACAGAGATTTTGTTTGGTTCATAGGATGCACCAGCAAAGTTGCATGCGGCAAGGCAAAAATCGGCCACGAGCACGCGCGGGCGGCATCGACCGAGCCAGGCTCGATGGAAACGAACCTCAGCTGCTTTCCTGCTCAGCCTGGCCCGAAGGGAATGTTTGCATCTGTTCAGCCCAAACGCGTGAAATCTGTATGAGATGGGCCAGGCCGGTGCTGCTCCAGGGTACCAAACACGCCCTTAGGCAGCATCTGGTTGCAGGTATCAAAGTTTGCATGAATCAGAGCATCCTGGATGACCACATGGGGCTCACCTGTCCCAATGCTTGGTTGTTGAACTGCACGGGTCCATTTAGAACCGGACTATCCAGATGCACCGAATATTCTCGACAGATGCCGTATACTCCCGTGCGCCTAGAAACACCGAACGACACCGTCCAAGCAGAACGACTCGCACTCTCAGCAGTCGGCACTCTCTCCCTTACATCTCGCCTCCCTCCCTCGGTGACTCGCTTGCTAGCATGCCGAACACGGGCGGTAGTGTCACCTAGGCCACTAGCGTCACGGTGTCACCGTAATCTGTACGGGACCTAGAGTAGACTGTTTTGTACTATCACATATGATTGCAGAAGCAACAAATCATTTCAGGAGGAACAAATCAGTTGCGACTTGTCTTGCTTAATTTAGTGCGTGTTCGGCGGGGCTTTTTTTTTTTCCCCCGCTCCGGCTTCTCTGCACACGGTACTGTAGTGATACTGTTCATAGAAGTTGTTTTTCTTTATCCGGTCAAAATGACCCGAGCTCTGACTCCTCTAGTACTGTAGCACGGAGCCGAAGGCCGTAGAAGACTTACCAAACACTGTAGCACGGAGCCGAAGGCCGTAGAAGACTTACCAAACACGCTCTTAATTTTACTATTATCAATTATTTGTGCATTTATGTCAAAAATACGTAAAATACTCAGATGGATATCTTGTACTGATTCACACCATTCCATATACCCATCCAAACAAAAATCATATATCATCCCATACAGGTAACCAAACAATCAACACGTACCATGTCATCCTGATCACTTATCTCGTTCATAACCCATCTATCATGTACGTCCAACCAAACATTGTACTCATTTGTCCTAGATATGGATTTACCCTACACCATAGTAACCAAGCAATCCCTATATTTTGATATGAAAATCTTCGTCACTGTGCTATTCTTGTTGGACTTAATTGGGCTTAACTCAACCTTGGGTAGTTCATTAAATCAAAAAAGTTAAGGTTCACAATAAATGTTAAGTGCAATAACTTTATTAGTCTTAGCGAGGGAAATTGACTCATCTCTACGTGTTGCATCCCAATGCAGAAATCACCGTAGTTTCTATGGACATTAATTGTACTGCCACATAAGCGTTTTGCTAATGTGGCAAGGTAGTTATTGAAGAGGGAGAGCAAAAATCATAGAAATCGGATCTAAATTAGAAATCATGTCTATACGAGAATCAAGACATGAAGGTACGTGATTGATAGAAAATGTATATGATTGGATAAAAAAATATTCTATAAAAACTATCTATTGGAACTATAGTTTTTATAGATGTGTTTGGTTTCATGGCTTAGGGCGTGTTTAGTTCCGAAAATTTTTGGCTTTTGGCTACTGTAGCACTTTCGTTTGTATTTGGCAAAAATTGTCCAATTATGGACTATTTAGGCTTAAAAGATTCGTCTCACGATTTCTCGGCCAACTGTATAATTAGTTTTTTTTCCGTCTACATTTAGTACTCCATGCATGTGCCGCAAGATTCGATGTGACGGATACTGCGCAAAAAATTTTGGATTTTGGGAGAAACTAAACGGGGCGTTAGTCATACAACTTGATCCTGTTTATTTCCCTATAAGACCTGCCCAGGCTTTGCCCTAGCCTATTTCGTACCGATTCGGTGGCTTCCTGGAAACGCCCACTCCGCTCGTTTTAGCGGAGCCAGCCTTGGCTAGCGCGCGGAGAGTACTCGTCTCACCGCCCGTCGCTCGTTCACCCCCTCCGCGTTCGCACGCCGCCGCACCTCTTCCCCCTCCACACTCGCACGCCGTCGCTCCTCCAACTTCTCTACGCTCGCGCGCCACCGCTCCTCCACCTCCTCCATGCTCGCGGCAGCGGGGTCATCCGGCAGGGCTCACGTCGCGCGGTGGCGGTCTCCCACGGCGGCGTCACGACCTTGGGCTCGCCCGGCGGCAGGGCCACGGCCGTTGGCTCGCTCGGCGGCAGGGCCGCCCGTGGAGCTCGTGTGGCGGCTTACCTGCATCCCCAACTTCGACGAGAGCCGAATGTAGATGCGGATGCAGCGGCGGCTAGACGCGGAACTGGTCCTGCCAAACGAGCGAGGTGCAGGCGGATAGATGGAGCCGCTCGAGCGACGGGAACGCGCGGAGCACCTGCACGCGGAGGCGGCGGCGCGTGCGGCCCCGGTAGGCGCACGCGCGGAGGCGGCAGCACGAAGGCGAGGGTCTCGTGGGCGGAGAGGCGGGAGGCCACGGTGGCGAGCGGGCCCGACGAGGCCTCGATGGTCGCGGCCGAGTTGTTCTGCTTCCATGGCGAGATTGAGTTGGGAATGGGGCATGTGCTGTCGCCGGAGCAGTTGGCGTGCAACCGGCCTCTTTCACCTCGGTCACGTCCTTCCGGATCTCGCCGCTTCGGGTGGCAACGATGCCGCCATGGCTGTGCACGCCGATGAGCAAGAGCAGGCGGAGGAGGGAGAGAGGAAGAGCAGGTGTTCGATGAAATGTTTCAATAGGGGTAAACTTACCTGTTCATGGATGTGGTGATTCTACCTAGACGAACAGCTTTGATCGTTGGTTGGTTTCAGACAGGATTTATTAGGTATGGTATAATATTTTTCTCTCACAACAAACTAGCATCAGTTAAATTTATTAGTCTAAAAACCAACCAGCGAATAGGCTAAAAGTCCAACCAAATACATCCTAAAGAAACCAGGCTAAGCCAACCATTGCAACCAAACAAGTGTGTCTTGTACTATAAGCCCGGCTCTAGTTGTCTAGGCTTAGTTGGTTTAGCCAGACTAGCTCTTGAACATGAACCAAACACATCTTATATGTGGTGGCTATGAAAATTAATAGGTTCTATCATTGGGACTCCACTAAGGCCTTGTTTAGATTGTAAGTTTTTTTACTCTCTTTTTATTATATCAAATCTTTGGACACATACATGGAGTATTAAATGTAGATAAAAAAATAACTAATTACACAGTTTAATTGTAAATTACGAGACGAAACTTTTGAGCCTAGTTAGGCCATGATTAGACAATAATTATCAAATACAAACGAAAGTGCTAAAGTGCTACAGTGCCAAATACTGATTCCTAACCCCAATCTGAACGAGGCCTAAAACGGAGAAAAATGCAAGTCATGATGCGACAACTACGACAACCTCTGTCTGACATAAGTAGCATGATGTCGGCGGTGGTTTGTCGCTCCTAGTTGTAACCCGTGTCAATACTGAAAAATGATAAAATCTACTTCTACTTGAACTGAGTGATCTAATAAAAGGGTCTTAGAGCAAGAGACATAAGAAATGGGATGGAAGCAAGGGTCTAAACTTGCCATTCATAAAAGTAAAAAAAAAGGCGAAATGAGGGACGAGGTAAGAGAAAGAAGAGAAGAAAAACAGTGGAAGTGAGGGTGACATGAAACAGAAAAAAATTAATTAATGTGCTTTAATATTATATAAATGATTCAACTAAAAAAGATAACCACAACTTCACTAGGATTTAAGAATTTTTAAAGAAGACATAATGAATTGAACCCAATCCCTCGGAATCTATAAGAACTATTCATTCGCACGTTAAAATACCAAGGAAAACACAACCATGCTAACAAATCACCCTCCAAGGGT